TGATGTATTAGTGTAGAGAATAATGATTTGGATGACATTGTACTCTACTATGATATGGATTAATGGACGCTTTAGGATAAAATGTTCTGAATCGTATTAAAAATGATTATCTCTTTGTCGGCTTCATGATATAGTAGGTGCGTTTAATGTTATAATTGAAAATCTACATGTAAATATTGGGAATTGCTATTTGTCGCCCTAGATATTTGAATTTGTCGCCCTAAATCATATTAAAATTACACGCTTACCCTTCATTAAATTTTGATTCATTCCCCTCCTCCCTCTCCATTCCAACCGCCGATCACCATCAATGAATCCCTAAACTGGGAAAAGAGGCCCGGCCGGCAGCCCACCTCAATCTGGCTTCCGCCTCCTACCTTTGCTGCTCTACTTTTGTCGGCTTCTGTTGATCTTGAGGAAGAAGAAAGAATCGCCATCATCCAGCTGTCGGAAGAGGAAGAAGAGAGCTGCTGCGTCGGGTTCTGGGTTCACTTTGACGGGTTGAAAATCCGTCTCCGACGAGCTGGGAACGGGTCAACGACCTGTCTCGTCATCGTCGGCGACAGGTTTCCAACCTGTTAGGCGAGCAGTCCAGATGGGTAGAATACCCGTTCCTTCCATCTGTCGCACAGGAACTCAACCCGCCTCTAGCATGATTCGACGGGAATTCAATTCGTCCGTATCCTTAGCCCAGAAAAAGAGGATTGGGAAGATTCTTTTCGCGGCAGTGACGATCGGCGGGATCGGGATATGGGTCTTCTTCGCCTTCCGCTTCGTTCTTTCCCTTTCTTTTTCTTTCTAATTTTATTATATTTGTTGAAAGTGATTTATCGGAGACGGGAAAAGGGCAATGGATCTGGGAGAAGAATAAATGGACTTGGAAATTGACAGGGAATTAAGCGGAAGCGGCCGGCGGCGGAGGTTTGCTTTGGATTGGGGATTCGAGAGAAAATAAATGAACTTGAAAATTTACTGGGAGGTAAGTGGCCGGCGGCGGAGGTCTGTTGTGGAGTGGAGATTTGTTTAAAAATCAGGGGTAAATGCGTACATTTGGTACAGTTTAGGGCGATAAAATTTAAATTTTAGGGCGACGAATAGCGATTCAGTAAATATTTGGTATTATAATGTTGGATGTACGGGGCGGATATTACCCATGGGTACCCGAACCCATGGGTATGGGGATGGGTTTGCAAAACCTTCCCCCGCATGGGTATGGGGCGGGTATTGGTATAGATATTTGAAAACGGGGATGGGGATGGTTTAGGCAAACCCGTCCCAAACCCGCCCCATTGCCATCCCTAATCATAGTGACAAACGTGAAATTTTTTAGTAATTCTAGTGACCAAACTTGCAATTTATCCTAAAAAAAACTTTACATGTTACAAACACGAGATGTATCCATAGGAGACACTGGGTGAGAAGTTTCTAAATTGCTAATGTCTTCCTAATATGCGAGAAATTTATCAAAAATATCAAGGGTCAAGAAGCTAGGTGCTAGGCAGGCGTTAGGAGTCTGCCTAGCACCTAGCGGCCTAGGCATAGCAAAATAGCAATTTTAGTTGAGATAACAATTTTATATCAATTCCCCCAGTGCAATTTCAGTTGATTAATAACTAAGCTAACCCTCAGTAACACGTAAAATATTTCATGATTTCGTAGTTTACGTCGGTGAAGAGTATAGTAGAGGGTTGGGTCGACCGGAGCTAGAGAAGAACTTAAGAAGTCATTTCGGAAAGATTATCTACAGTTTTTCTTAATCCTTGGTGTGCCAGACTGTTAAGAGCATTTCCTTTAATTAATCACACCTCACGCCAATTAATCATGTCTAGCTTTGTATATTAGCCGAATAGGCGTTATAAACGCCTAATTGTCTGCCTAGGTTTTAGGCAAGGTGCTTTGTCACACTACCTAGTGCATAAGGGGTACACGGAATTATCATTCTTGAATCTTGATAAATACCAATAAATTTATCTTATGACTATTAGAAGAATTTCTTTTGTGATTTAATCAACGGTCAAATATCATCACTTACAACCTTCTTAATCTACACAAAAAGAATGTTGATGTATAATGGGTCACAATTGGATCAACTTGTTAAGAAGAGTGGGTCAATTTCAATTTTCAACCAAATCCCCAACCAACCCCTACTTCGACTGAAACCTGTGCTGCTGGGTGGCGTCTGGCGGTGGCTGTTGGGTTGGAGTGTCAGAAGCCTCACAAGCTTTGGGGCAAATCTCAAATGGAATCTCTTGGAGGACTCGGCAATGGCGGGTTGTGGGGATGGGATCAAAGACCCAGAAAAAGGAAACCCTCTCGGAGCAATTCATCCGGTTCAGTGGAAGCGGCTGGCGGTTTCCGCTTCCCGCTAAAGCAAGCCCTCACAGCAGGTACCTTGGCTGTCACTGGTGATACTATAGCTCAACTTAGTGACCGTTGGAGAAAGCGCAACACCCCTAAACCACAAGATAATGTAGTCTCTTCTCATGAACCTGGCGAAGCGCTGGTGAGTGTGCTCTGTGCTTCGTTTGTTACATTGAACGAGCTGTAGATAATTTGATTAGTTGTGCCCATGGGAACAATGGCGATTTTTTCTTATTATTATATGACATTGTTAGAGTAATTAGAGCGATTCCAATTCCTTTTAAGCGATTGATTGTGGAATCAGAGGTACTTGATATGTCCAGGCATTTGAATGAATTTCTCATGAACCTTAACTGGCGAAATGCCCACCTCTTGGGCCTTTCCTGTGCTGTAACTGGGACAGAAACGCACTTGTGGTTATTGTTCTTAAAGGAAGCCATCGGTGTACATCCTGCTTAGTCTGTAGTTCCTCATCATTTAGTGGCCACTGTGTTGAATCAATGCCACTCCAGTTGGTTCTGAACTGATTTGGATTTTCTCTCTCTCTCTCTCTAAGTTTGTTCAATTAGGAAAGCAGAATATAAACTCTCAGAACTGCAGTTCTGTTATATTTGTAAATACAGAAGCAGTTTTAAAGTTTAATAGTTTTGAGTTTTGACCATTGTTTACTAAAGAAGATATTACAAAAATTTGATGGCTTTGCAGACGATCCTTTGCAGCCATGATTGGCTTCGTGCCTTGAGGATGGCATCTTATGGGTTTCTTTTGTATGGCCCCGGTTCATATGCATGGTACCAGTATCTTGACCATTGTCTACCAAAGCAGTCAGTTCAAAACTTGATACTTAAGGTAATTGTTAAATAACTATGAATTGCTGAATGTCAATCCAGAAACTTGTATATGAGCAGATGATTGTAAGTTTCATTTGGCGTCCTCTCTTTTCAGGTTGTTTTGAATCAAGTGATACTTGGTCCATCTGTGATTGCTGTTGTGTTTGCATGGAATAGCATATGGCAAGGGAAGCTTTCACAGCTTCCAGGAAAGTATCAAAGGGATGCTCTTCCTACGCTGCTTTCCGGTAAAAGTCTCTAAAGACTCAATACTGGTGATTGGATTTTTTATTTTCTTGATGCTGATATTTAGTTTTCAATGCAGGGTTTAGGTTCTGGATTCCTGTCAGTATATTGAACTTTTGGTAATACTTCTATCACTTTTTAGGTGGTATTCTAAGCTTTGGTTTTCAAAGCACTGGTTATTGTCTCTCCTTCTGGACAGTTGAAAAGTATTGTAGTTAATGAATGCCATGCGTTTGAAATCATTCGTTTGGTTAGGTGAAATATTATGGGTATATCTATGAGGTATGAGCCCATTAAACAACTGTATAGAGAGATGATCACTTTTTACACCTACCTGCCAACGAATGAGGCCTTTTCTTCCATATCATGTTGTGGAGCTGATTGAAAGGGAATTTGTCATATTAAAAGTTACCGACCATCTCAGATTGGTAGTACTTGAAAATTGAGGTTGATCAGAATGGTACCGTGACATGCTCTGATAAAAGTTTCAACATTTTTGCAGGGTAATCCCTCTCCAAGCACGTGTTGGCTTCATGTCCATGGGTTCTATATTCTGGAACTTCTGCTTATCTTCAACTATAAGCAAGTAGATCGATCCACAGCTACGGTGATGGTGCTAGCAAGATATGTCAACATGAGGTGTCTTCTCCTACTTTTGACTCGAGGCTTAATGTCCTTCAAATATCTCATCAATCTGTTTTCCGGATCATAAACCCATCTGTTCATTTGTTTTTGCCGAGTATAGCTCGACTTTTGAAATCAAAGCGTGCAAGATTCTTCCTTCTCTTGTCCTAGATCTCACATGGCTACATTTGTCTGCTACTTATGTAATTTGGTATCTTTTGCACTTTTTATTGCCATCTTGCAGATGTTTAAATCATCAGCAGCAGTTGGGATCAAGAACAGGCAATGAATCATGCAACAAGTGCACTATTAAGCCGGTTAACAGTTGAGAGTATTCAGAGAAAATGCAAGACTCAAGTATGCTTAGAACAGGTTCAGATTTTCAGCAGCTTTCCTTATGGCTTGATCTGACAAAATTAGGAAGTATGTGTGTTTCCTGTTCGTGGCAGTATGAATTCGATGTAATTTTGGTGTTGGAAATATCATATCCCTGACAGCACAGAATGGAAAACCTTGGAATGATGATGCTGGAAATTCTGGTTTGATTAGGAAGTCGAAGCCAATTCTGTGGTGCTGAAATCAGAATCCATAGATCAATCACAGGACTTGCTATAGCAGAGGATGAGAATTGTACGTTGTGGACAGATGTGCACCATGTGCTATTTTTTCAGCTCTTATCTAGGAAAGATCTCATTCGCTGCAGCTGTTCCATCTGTTAGCTGTAAGAAATGCGGAATCATGATAATACGTCTCTCGATGTGGCGAAGTATTATTCGTTGTTAGGAACTACATTTGGCAAGGCGAGCCGAAGGGGATAGAGAAAAAAAGAATGGGAAGTGTCCTTTACAAACATGGAATTGGATTCTTTGTCTGTGTTTTACTGCACCCTCAACGGTTCTTTTATACCCTCTTAATCTTATGGTGGGATGCACTTTGCATCATTCTCCCACCATCCACAAAAGAAGAAGGAACGAACAAAATTCCCTTGATTTTCGTTTTCCACATCAAGCGAAGAAAATCATAGAAAAGGAACAAACAAAGCTTTGAAACGTCTGGTGATCATAACAAGCGCAGGAAGAGTAGTCTCTCTTGGGAAAAAAAACATTAGCAGAGCCATGAGCCACGGCGGGCCTTTCCCAGGATATTCACGGATGCTACCACCGTATTTCCTCGATCCGAACGTCTCCGGTGAGGGCCATGGCCGAACTCCGGTCCGAACAACTCCTGTAAGAAAATAGTTCTGTGCAAGCCTTGCTTGCTTTCATCATCGTCGCGTCTTTTTTAGGGGAAACTGGGCAGAGAAGAAAGAGGCACGCATGGCATTAGTAGTAAATGGTAAATGGTGATGGGTTGTATTGGCAGGTTCCGATAGAGTGGAGGACAGCATCAGCTGATCCCGTTTGGGAAGCGACGGTGGAGCAGAGGATGATTATCAGAGACCATCCTGGTTTCCCCCGGTATGTGTAACCTTGTTAGGCTGGCCAGCAATTCTTTGATTTTCAAGGATTTATTAGTAGACATTTGGATGTCAATAATACTGCACTTTAATTAATCTCTAATACTTCCTGAGCGCCACCGGTCAACTCGTCTGTAGCAGCATTCTGCCGCCGCCATCATCACCTTTCCAACGACCTCTAGGCGTGGAAATCGCGCTCCTCCGTGATGCAATAATGTCGAGGGAGCTCGGAGAATTCGCCTCCCTCGTACCGCCGTCGAGTATATATGGAACCCAGAGGTCGCCTGCGGACTCCAAATTAACCGAGGAAGAGCAGAATGGAGCAGTGAAGAAGTTGAGGAGAGTGGTGTATGCTCCAGCGTCGTTGTCGTCGCTAGGTAGCCGGGTGAGCCTGTACTACAGAGATCGATACCCAGGCGCGGCGGCGGCGGGCAGGGCGAAACAAGCAGAGGAGGAAGGGAAGAGGTGTGCGGTTTGCTTGGAAGATTTTGAAGCAAAGGAACAAGTCATGCTGACTCCCTGCGACCATATGTTCCATGAGGACTGTATTGTTCCCTGGGTTAGGAGCAATGGCAATTGCCCGGTTTGCCGTTTCTCACTCTCGGATCGCAGCCGGTTGGGTAAGGGCTTAATATAACTCCCATCGGAATGCGCATAGATAGTTAGTTCTGTTCTGTAACACTAAAACGAAAATGGAAAATCTAAATTTAGATAACCGGAGAAGGAGCGGGAACAATGTGTTTGTATTTGATTACTATAAGTGTAAGCCTTGGTTATTGTCGGGGCAATTCTCTGGTAATCATGACCGGTTCAACTAAGGTAGGTCTGGTTTAGGATGGTTCAGACAAGATTGTTTGGGTTTGTAATTGTCTGGTATGACTAGTTTTCCCGCAAGATATTGTCAAGAAGCAATATCAACTCTTATTTTAGCCTCTAAAAACATATATAGTCAGTGGCGGACCTACATTGCACCAAGTATTGTCAAGTGACAAACCTTGGCTTTGAGTTTGGAACAAAATAATTAATGGAAATTTTATTTTATTGATGTTTGTATTGGAACCAATTACCAATTGACAAGCCTTAGAATTTTTAATTAATTTCTTTTGAACTAAAAACTAAAGGTTGTTATAAAATCAAAAATTAGATATTTATTATTACTAATTCTATACGAAATGAAATAAGTTTCATATCTATTAATTTAATTTATAATTCCAATTCATTACTTCTCCTGTTTTTTTATCGAAAAACCCTTTGACTACCTTACTTGACCCAAATTCCCAACGGATGAGAGCAATTTCTTAGAAACATAGATTATTTTGTGTTATTAGGTACTATTTAAGGGATTCGAACTTCAGATCTTCGGGTTTAAAGTTAGTGGTATTACCACTAGACCAATCCCTTGTTCGTAACGGATAGAACAATTTTGAAATGATTGTTTGGTTACACTTACTGGACTTTTTGTGAATCGCGACACGAATAAGAAGTTTATTTTTGAATTTTTTTTACACGAAAACAATATGTGATTTGCTGTCAAAATAATGATGTAATGCACTACATGAATTTTTTTTGTTAAATTATATATGTAATTTATTATTTTATATTCTTATTCTTGAATACCCTTGAAGAATTTTCTGGGTCCGCCACTGTATATAGTAGCAAATAATATTCTGCCTCTAAAAGTTACAAATATTAATATAATAAACTTGCCCATAGATAAGAAGGCAAAACTTTACATGACAGTAGGGATGGCAATGGGGCGGGTTTAGGACGGGTTTGTCTAAACCATCTCCATCCCCATCTTCAAATATCCAAACCCATACCCGCCCCATATCCATGCCGGGGAATGTTTGGCAAACCCATCCCCATACCCGTGGGTTTCGGGTACCCATGAGTAATACCCGTACCCGTACATCCAACATTATTATCCTAAAATTTACAAGAAACGTTTTAACTACAACTCTAAACGTACCTATTATATCACGAATTCAACAAAACACAATCATTTTCTTAATACAGTTCGAAGAATATGATCCTAAAACATTCGTTAATACATAATATAGAGTATAATATTTTTCAAATTATTATGTTCTAACTCTGACACATCTACTAAGAAATAATTAACTAACATAGTCTTGTTGACAAGGGGGGAAAGTGAAAGAGTGAAAGGAGAATTGAGGGAAATAAATTAGGTTTTGATTAAGGTGGTCACTCAATTGCATTTCTACTATTTATTTTCTCGAGTTATCCTCATCATCATTGATAGATTACAATTTGATCTACATATTTTTGTATATGTGAAGAAATTCTCTTGGTGGGGCGGATATGGGTATGGGTATGGGGCGGGGATGCTAAAACCATACCTGCCCCATACCCATCAAACTTTTTGCGGGTTTTACCCATACCCGCCCAATACCCTCGCGGGTACCCGCGACCATGGGTTTGATTTCCATCGCTACATGACAGTTAAAACAAATGTGCCGCTATATGTAATATTTAAATTAAATTAAAATTAAATGTAAAATAATAAGGCTTTTAGAGGCACTTAATATTATTTTTGGAGGCAAAAAAGATACTAGTCGCGTATAACATATTTTAGGAGACAATAATTTTATGTGTCGCGAATTTTTTCTCTAAATGTGATTTTTCTGGTAGTGAAAGCGGTAATGAGAAATACTAACTTATAATCCTAATTCTAACCACATGCGATAGTCAGTATACAACCAAACTATCGATGAAAAAATTTGTTTTACCACGAGATGAACAACTCTATTGAAGCTAATAGATTAATAAAACTAAAACAATTCCAAAACTGTTGCAATTCCTCTTTTCTCCTTTATTTCTTTCTTCTTTCTCGGTCACGAAAATCCTGATGGTCGACGTCACCACCAGACCACTACCAACATCGTCGTTGTGACCATCATCATGCAGAACTCGGTTCTCAGATACCTTGTTAGACACAATCACCATCGCCATCGGCGATCTTCCCGCTCAGCCATAAAGTGCATCATTTATGTCGCCACCGACATGCACTTGCCATCGCGTTGATGAAGATATTTAGGGGAAACAAAATAATTATATATCAAGATTCAACAGGTTCATTCCTCCTATGAGTGAGTAATCTCTATCTTTTCAAGGTCTTTAAGATTTGGGGATGTCACCATCCGGATCAACTCAGCGAGCTTGGGAAGAAGAAAGGAAGAATAACTGAGAATGTAGAGAGAGGAGGAGGGAAAGTTTAGTATGTCTTTATTCATAACCCTAACGAACACACTACTACTCTCTTAAGTAGCCGCTTGTCAGCTGCCAGCTGTCACACACACAATCCTCACGACATTTTCAGTTTAAATCCCTAAGCTTTTAATTATAACATTTTGATCCAATTTGTTACAAAATCTCTCTCCATCATCACAGACTTGTACTTAAGTCTGGAAGTCTGAAAATCGGGACTGGAACTCTTTGAGGTACTCCCACATAGCATCCTCCTCCAATTGATGAGTCCATTGCACCAAGATCTGAGTGTAGCCTGGTTGCCCTTGGATACAAATCGTCTAGTAAGAATCACACCAGGCTCCAACTTCAGAGTTTCCATTGCATCCATTTCAAGAAATGCTCGTTGCACTTGGACATGAGCACCCTTAGCCTGCTTAATTAAGAAGAGAAACATGAATCATTGTGGGTAGCTGAAGGTTGTAGGCAACCAACCCCATCTTTTGTAGAATCAGGAAGGGACCAAAGAATTTGGGAGCTAGCTTTTCATTAGCCATCTGCTCAACTAATTGTTGTCTACAGGGTCTTAGTTTCAAATAAACCTAATCTCTAACCTAAAACTCCCTCTCAATCGTGTGTCTATCAGCCATTTATTTCTGCCAATTTTGTGCCATAGCTAAGTTGTGTTTGAGATGTGTTGCTCTTTTAGCTTGTATGCTAGTGCTACAAGTGGAGTCAACAATGGGTTCTGAACTAAAAAAATGAGAAGGAGGTTATCCATACAAGGCCTCAATGGTTTCTGCAATTCCCTATCTCCTACTCTCAAGTCAACACCACTTTCTGCCCTTCCAACTAAAAAAACAGTTACAAACTCACAAAATCAAATTTGACAATACTAAAAGAGTTCTCAGCCAGTCCAACCCCATACCCATTTCATGATTTCCCATATTGAGTATCTTGACATCATAACAAAAATGGTGTCCTTTCATATACCAATTGAAATCCTTGCACCCAAAATTTCTCATCAAAACTATTCCACCAGTCAGTTTGACTCTTAGTGGAGTAGCATGAGCCGATAGACACTTAAACTCTCCCACTCGAGATAGGTAGAGGTATGAGTTGGAGTATTCGAGAGCTAATAGCTAAGATCATAGAGTAAATCCACTGTTAGAATCCTTAAATTCATTACATAAATTTGGTATAACCAAGTCCTGAATTTTCCTATTAAACTACCCACGAAACTATGGAACATCATCATGAAAGACAATAGGGGAGTCTGTCACTCCCAGCAAATCACAAGCCCTGGCTAGGGTATGTGACAACTAATTCCATCTTTCTAATTTGTGCTTTTTTGATGATTTCCTGTTTTGCCTCCTCTTCTTTTGATTTCTGTTTTTGCATGGGTTGTCAATGTGTAGTTTGTCTTGCATGTTTCAATATTGGGCCTCCAAGAAAAAAAAATTAATATTTGAGTGAGTTTGTCTTGCATGTTCAATATTTGTCGGTTGTGGTCTTTTTAACTTGATTATCAAGTTCTACTTCGTCTCTACTAGGGGTGCCACATTGTCTATTACTTTTCTACAAGGAGTTATGTCGCCAACCATTCCCTTTAAGGGGTTCCGAAGTATCTTCCGTAGGAGTGAATTAGCACGATCGTGGAATCGATTGTCAATGTGTAGTTTGTCTTGCATGTTTAATATTTGGCCTCCAAGAAATAAAAAGAAATTAATATTTGAGTGAATTTGTCTTGCATGTTCAATAATTGTAGGTTGTGGTCTTTTTGACTTGATTTTCAAGTTCTACTTCATCTTCTACTAGGGGTGCCACGTTCTCTATTACTTTTCTACAAGGAGTCCTGTCGCCTACCATTCCCTTTAGGGGGCTCCGAAGTATCTTCCGTGGGAGTGAATTAGCACGATCGTGGCCCAATGGTGGATGCCAAGTTGTGTAAGCTTAATAGGTGAGAAGGCTTTAACGAGAGAATGTACCACGCTCGTAATATGTCCTTCAGCTTCCACAGAATAAACTCTTCCAGAGATCTTGCAGAAAAACCCGCATGCATTTCACGCTTGGGAAATCCTCTGACGGTCAAGTTAGAGATTAATTAGTTGTCTATTTTAAAGAGAGCATGATTAGTTGCATTACCATAAATATGGACCAAGTGGCTATTTATGATCGCTGGATGGTCTTTTGTGAGCATTTAATGTTTTCTCGAGCGTCTTGGGGTTTTCACCAATTAGGAGTTGGAGCTCTCTTTTTAGCATGAAATGCTAGCATCGTGATTCTCACACTACCTACAGTGAGTAGGTGGCTATCCTAATGAGGTCTAGTCCATTTGAGGATGCTTCAAGACCCGTGTAGGGGATGTCTTTATCGAAACTTATCTCTTCTAGTTTGAGGATCTGCTGGGCATTTCTGGTTTTGATGAGCCTCTAGTTGTGCTTATTGGTTATTGGGCTTTGTGTATAGTGGGTCCCAATTTACGGACAATCCCTTAGCCCAACAGGAACTGACTATGACACGACTCCCACCGCCTACCAACGGATAACCACTTTTAGCCTCAATGAGCAAGCCAAAACCTTTTTTCCTTACTAATGATGGTAACAATTAGTGGAGACTCTACACTAGGGAGGACTGCAAATTCTGGTATAATTTTGCAATTACTTTCGAATGATAGTATTTTTTGAATATCATAAATTAACC